CTGAAAGTGAGAAAGATTTAGGAGTAATGATAAGTAGGAATCTTAAGCCAAGTAAACAATGTGTCCGTCCCTCGTAACGATCTTCAACAGTGAAGTGCTTCCCCGACTGGAGTACTGTCACCCCGTCTGGTCCCCAAGATATGCTAGGGACTGTCAGCTGATTGAAAATGTCCAAAAGAGGGCCACTCAGTTCAGTTCTGGTCACCGTACTACAGAATGGATATAGAATCCCTAGAAAGCATTCAGAGGAAAATGACAAGACTAATCCCGGGCATTAGGAACCTTGAGTACAGAGACAGGTTAAAGCATCTTAATTTGCACTCGCTCGAGAGACGTAGAGTGAGGGGCGATATGATAGAGGTGTATAAATGGAAGTCAGGGCTAAACAAAGGTGATATAACAAAGGTACTCAAACTATCCAACCAGGAGCGAACTCGTAACAATGGTTTTAAATCAGATAAATTTAGATTTAGGCGCGAGAGAGGTAAACATTGGTTTGGAAATAGAGTAGTGGATGAGTGGAACAAGTTACCAAATATCATCATTAACTCTAACACGCTGGATAGCTTCAAACATACTGTAGGTTGGGTGGATATATGAGCAATAGGGGTTGGGTGTAAAGGGGACTGCCCAGTATGGGCCAATAGGCCCACTGCAGTTTCCTCCATTCTTATGTTCTTATGATGATGATGAATGACGGTGATAATGATGGTGATGATGATGGTGATGATGATGGTGATGACGATGATGATGATGGTGATGACGATGATGATGGTGATGACGATGATGATGGTGATAATGATGGTGATGATGATGGTGATGATGATGATGGTGATGACGATGATGATAGTGATGACGATGATGATGATGGTGATGATGGTGGTGATGATGATGTCAATTAAGATGTGATTTGGTGGGTAAGTGGAAGTGATGGTCAGTACACACACACACACACACACACACACACCAAGTTTAATGGCTGTTAGTGTCTTAGTTGGTGATCATCCCCCTGGAGGAAGTTGTGGCTTAACGCTACACTGCCCTACAGGTCACTATCCTTCCTTCCGCTGTCCTCGCTCCCTGGGACCTTTAAACCATTTTAGTCTTAATATTCTTTAACATTAAGGTCTATATTTTGACCTTGAATCTCTGTTGAGTGTTAGATTTAAGATAGCGGTCGATTTTGAGCTTTATTTAGTCTATAAATTAAGGTCATTTTCGTTTTAAATCATTCCTTGTTGTGAGAGTCTGGACACCATATGATTCTAGGTCTTATTCTCTCTTGAGTTAGAATCGATTTCGCTGGGAACAATTATTAGCTGTGAACTTGAGGTAGTATATGATTTTCACTCTTATTCACTAAAGCTATAAGAGCTGGGCTTTTTTTATGTTAATATCCCGGTGAGTTAGGAATAGCAGCAATGAACTTTGGACGTTATGGTAGAGGAGTTTAGAGGTTTGTTTACCTTGTTGAGTGTTAGTTTGAGGCGGTTATGCTGCTGGTTGTGTTTAGTGGGTGTTGTTTCGCATTTTCTTGTTGACCACAGTCTTCTTCCTCCTCCTCTTCTCCTCCTCCTCCTCTTCTTCTTCCTCCTCCTCCTCTTCCCCTCTTCTTCTTCCTCCTCTAGGTCACACCAGGTCACGTCAGGTCACTCCAGGTGAAGATTATAATCAAGCAGCTTCCGGCCACCCCAATTTTGACCTCAAATACTATACCTCAGGTCATCTAGGGGTCACGAGGGATGGATGACCAGGAGCGACAGAGGAAAGGTCATGAGAGGTCACGGAAATTGCCAAGTATCTGTGACCATGATGATGTTTGTTTGTGGTTTAGGTTAAGGGATAAATACTGGTTAATGATATGTTGCTTTAGTGAGTTGTTATTGAGTCGTCTATTATTATTATTATACAGATCAACGAATATACACACACACACACACACACACACACACACACACACACACACACACACCACACCACAGCCACACCACACCCACACCCACACACACACACACACATACTACTACTATTACTTTGCTGTCACTCGGAATCGAGTATGACGATCATCCAGCTATGATACAATGATATGAGTTATTAGGGAAGTCACCTACAGTAGGTTGGTGAGTTTTGAGGTGACTAAAGAGGCCGATACGGGACCGGCAGAGTCATTCACAGATGTTGCACATGTGGAGGGCTACACCTAGTGCGGGAGGGGCGGCGGCAGCGACTTTCTGGCGTTGGCGCTTGCCTGCCTCGGTTTGCAGTCGGGCTAACTCGAAAGTATTGACACCTTCTCATGTGGTGCTTCTCCAAGCATTACAGTGTGGAGTAATCGTCTCCCAGGTGAGGGGGTCGATTTGGCACTTTTTCAGGTTTGTCTTAAGACTATCTTTATACCTTTCAATTGCCCGCCGGCGTTACGTTTACTATTCGTTAGGTGACTGTAAAGTATCTGCTTTGGCAGTCTACTGTCGTCCATGTGGGTAACATGGCCAGTCCAGCATAGTTGTTCATGGATAATGGTAGCCTCGATGCTCCTACAGTTGGTGTCAGCAAGAATACTGGCATTTGTTCTCTTGTCTTCCCAGCGAACTCAGAGGATGGAACGTAGACTACGTTGGTGAAAGTTTTCAAGTGCCTTGAGGTGCCTCCTGTATGTGACCCATGTCTCGCTGCCATATAGCAGGGTGGGAAGGACCACTGCTCGATGTACATGCAACTTTGTAGATGATTTCAGCTCCCTACAGCTGAAGATACGGGTACAAAGTCTGCCAAAGGCTTGAGATGCACATCTGATCCGATGTTGAATCTCTTCATCGAAGTCTGCGGTGGTGGACAGGTGGGAGCCGAGATACCGAAAGTGGTCAACATTAGAGAGGGTAGTACTGTTAAGCTGGGTGGATGGTGGAGGTGTGGCTGAACCAGGGGCAGGTTGAAAGAGAATCTGAGTCCTACGTACAATCTTGTTCAAGATTCTTCGAACACTGCTGGAGACAGCTGGCAACTGAAGGCCGTTTGTTTACTATAGTACGTAGTGAAAATTATGAATGAATGTAAAAGTGATCGGTGATTGGTTACTTAGTTCCCCGTTGCTTAATTAATGGTTGGGCTTTTCCATTCATTCATATTTTTTACTACGTACTATAGTAAACAAACGGCCTTGAGGTGCCAGCTGTCTCCAGCAGAGTTCGAAGAATCTTGAACGAGACTGTACACACACCTCAAGGCCGAAGTACACACACACAAAAGTACTCAACACAAGTCGTCCAAACAAGACACATATCAGACACACAAACTAGCCTATAGGGTGACCTTCAACAACCAGAAGCGTGGGTGTAATTACCGGAGAGCTGTTAGTGTGGTCAGATGGTAACCTCTTAACCCCCAACCTCAAGTGAGCCGTGGCATGTGCTGGCGGCGGCCGTAATTTTTTTTTTTTTTTTTGTCACTTACAGCGGCTAGTTTACTGTGCACCCCATACTCATCCTGTGAGCGGTAGCACAAAAGGATTACAGAGTAGAGTTTACAAAGGATCATAATAATTAACCCCCGTTGTCAGGATATTATGGCACTGAATGTTACACAGTATTTCATTTACATTATTTGTTTAGTTCTGTACATAAAGGATAACTTATTCACAAGTGCGTGAGTACAGGCGTGTGAGGCAGTATGTCTGGCCTCACACTTTGTTATTCACATTTGCGTGAGAAGTATTCAAGCACATTGTGTATTTGGTTCTATACATGGGAACTGATATAGCTACTATGTGCAAAAAAATACAATCATAATATGTCGGCTATCTTGCCATTAGAGATGAAGTGTTGTGCCATTTCAGGTCCAAGCACACTGTGTGTGAAATGATTTCACACACAGTGTGCTTGGACCTGTCCCTAAAAGGTTCTATCTTCACACAGTCGAGGACGTAGTGTTCAAGTGTGTGGCCATATGTCTGGCCACACACTTTACATTTAGTCTTGTTTACATCTGCTTGAGGAACATACTGCCAGAGGTACTTATATCCTAACCTTAATCTGTGATTTACAACATCTTGTAATCTAGTGATCTTATTACTTGCTCCATATACATGTTTCATGATACATCTCATCGTAGTAACCTATGGATCAGCTAGTGCCTGTTTGCACTTGTCTACTTTACGTCAAACTCTCATCAATAAGTTCTTTCTAATTGCAGTTTAAGGGTTCTTTTGACGAATTAGAATTGTATTCAACAGTGTCTTTGTTAGACACTTGAGTTTAGCGAGAGCATCAACTCTGTCATGTTTTATAGAGCCCTGCTCTTGAGAGGGATCCACAACAGTTTGTGTAACACCCCGGTCAACAAGGCACTATATTTGTGTCTGCTTCAGAGACAAGAGCGTGACAACCTGAAGTCGAGGTGCCAGGGCAAGTAGTGAGATAGAGTCAGTGATGATGAGACTGTAATGACATTGAGACAATAAATTTAATAGCTGTAAGTGTAATAGCCTAATTCAGTTTGTAGAGTGGATGCAGTTGTTAATTCTAACTCATTTCTCAATTATAATACCGTCAGGTTAGTCTAACAATAGCACTTCCAGCCCTCCACAGGCGGTGTTAGAATCCATCAATGTAGATGGTCTGTGATAATATCATCAGTCTGTAGGGGTGTGTATGTGTTCAAGAGCTCTCACTTTGGCAGTGTGTTGGAGATAAATGCTTTGTATAATTAATTTTTTAGGCGGATACGTCGGTATTGTGATATCGAAGGAACTGTCCGCCAGGGTGGCAAGCTGTATTTGTGTCTCAACTTTGTACAGGTGGTCTAGTCAAACATCTTCCTTATGTGTGGCTGTGGTTTGGATCCCATTTAGACTCAGTAGTCCTATGGTTCATACATTCTAGCAATTTAAGAAACAATGTTGTCAGGATCACCGCAGAAGCCTCAGGGGCTATCATGAGGTTGACTTCTTATTCTATCTTTAACACTGGGTATGCCTAGTTCTTTCCTCATATTAAAAGTAC